TTTTTTTCTCTTTCCTCCTTAGAAATGCCTTTTTCTGCTTTTCTCTTCTTTTTATATTCTTTCATGTAGTCACTGTCTTTTCTTTTACGGTTATGATTTATGCCAAAGTCACAAGATGCAAGATTTACATGAGACTTCTCAGTTCCAGTTTCAGTTGAATTTACTCTAAATTCAGCAGGTAAAGTTGACACATAATGCATTTCACCAATGTGACCTACATATATAGACCTTATATTTCCAACCTCAGTATTCACAGATTCAACCAGGGTCAAATCTGAAAAATTTGCACTAGATTTGACAATATAAATTCTTAAGTTCAATGAATCTGCAACAGCTTGTATAACATTATGTTATCAGCCCATGTTCCTTGCACAGATATACAAGATAAATAACTTAACCATGATCCATCCAAATTGCTTTCTATAAATCGCTCAGGATTATTTCTCAAATACTGGACAGCCAATGCTCTAATTTCTAGGTGATGGTTAGAGTCGCCATATAACTGGTGTGATACTGACTTAAAAAAGCAGTCGCCTCCTCCCCCAACATCAAGTGGTCTTAATCCATGTCTAAGTAGCCTGTAGTTTAAGAGAAAATCACCTGTAGTATTGGATACTAATGCTAATGAACCAGTTTTGCCTTTTGCAACAGGACCTGGATTTAATTCAACATCTCCAGAGAGTAAAAGATTTCTTTTTGATGCATTAAAGGCAAATGAACAAGTGGCATGCTTAGCTCATAAAAAATAATTACTAAAGAAACTTGTTTGCCTTTCAGTATGTCTGATTTTCCACAATTCATAATTACAAGCAATGTTGTGTTAAACAGATGAAGCAGGAACTGATTTTTTGAGCAAATTCTTCACTTTTGATCTCAATTTTCAAAATTTCAACGACTGGATAACTTTTCGCAGTGATATTCTAGACGGTTCTCTATCTCGAGATCTGTATGATTTTACTGCTAGCTGCCTGAACGGTGTACGTGATCTAAAGTGCAGATCGTTTTTCATGCTTTTGAGTTCCTTATCACTGATTATTGGTACTTTTGTAACTGAATCAATAACTGTATTGTGTTTTACAGAACCTGGCACAGCTTTCAGGAATACTCTAACAAGGGACG